GAACAGTCGCAAACAGTTGCGAATAGTGACAAATAGCTGTCATTAGTTAGTTCAGCGCTGATCTGGATTCGTTGAAATTGATCACGTGGAGAAATACACGTAGCGTTTATCCGCAGAGGCTGATAGATTCGACCAAGCACGTTCTGTGGCCTGTGATTAGTTTATCAACTGAAAAGACACAAATGAACTGCTGCTATAACCAGTTACAAAAACAACAACATTTAAGCTATATCGTGCATTAATTAATTATCCAAATAAGCAAGAGAATTTCAGTGAATTTATTACCTTTTCTTCCAAGGACTCTGGCTATGGCTGTCCGTCGCTGACACACACACACACACACAAAAACGGAAAACAAAAGGATAACCTAATAAAGATGTATTTACGCTTTTGCAGTGGTGAAAACAGAAGAAATTACGTTAAGAAACACCTGTTAATGTCCCCTTTTTAGCGGGAAAATCCCATCCCACATTGCTGCAAGGTTGACTGCGAGGTACTGAGTACCAAATTGCTGTCATTGGTCACTATCCCCCCTCCACCCCTATTTGCCACTATTTACCACTATTTACCACTATTTACCATTATTTGCGACTATTTGTGACTTTTCACCACTTTTCGCACTATTCGCACTATTTGTACTATTGGCTATTTGCTATTCGTGACTATTTGTGACTATTCACCATTTGGGTTTTCAGACACCTCAGTTTCAAAGAATGTACATATTTTACCTGTACTACTAAATTCATGAAATAGTAGGTTCCTAATCTTTAGCAATAGTATAATAATTGTATTTTCCTGGTCGATGAGTAATACTTTGTTGCCCGACAGTTATCACGTGAATATCCTGTGGTAGATCACAGCTATGATGCAGTGGTGGTTGGTGCTGGAGGTGCTGGCTTACGTGCGGCATTTGGTCTTGCACATGAGGGATTTAAGACTGCTTGTATCACAAAGCTGTTTCCAACAAGATCACATACTGTTGCTGCACAGGTAATACATTGAGTTTACAACAGTTACACTGTTATGTTACACTGTCCAAAT